ATAACGACAAGATCAACTGGGCAGCATCCTAACGAAATCGGAGCAAGTCTACAAAGGCGTAGTCTGAATCTAGGCCCAAAATGACATTAAACCCATTAACAAAAATGGGCTTAATGGAGTAATGGGCATAATTTTAATATATTTCTTAATGGGCCAAACCCATTTATTAGCTGGCCCATTTTACTTAGAAGTACTATATATTGTTCATTATCATCTCCCAAAAAGGGGATCGATTCATTTGTAACCAGAGCTTGACATAAACAGCAATAACACATATCTTCAACTTTTGCTTTGTGATTCATACTCAGAAGACTCAATTCTCCTTTCAACCCTTGACAAATTCAACTGTGTAGGATCCGCCGTCCACACCTTCCTTGTTCATCCGGCCGTTTCAGCATGCACACTAAAAAAAACTATAAATTGACCTCACTTGATAGCAGATCAACACTTCCAACACTTTATAGTGATGATTGTCACCACAGTTAACCCAAAGCTGTTTGGAGGTATGTCGTCTTTAGGCCTAATCTTCAAGGGTCTTTAACAAACATGAAAACTACACTTCCAAAGATAATACTAACCTCTGTTTTTTTCCCCCATACCTACCTCTGGTTTTTTCCCCCCAACTCACCAGGTAACCTATACCTTAACTCCACACCTGCCACCAGATTCTTCTTCGACACTACGATTCATGCTATTGCATAGTTCACGAAAAGGTAAAGCTACTTACATAATAGTACATCAAATCACCACAACTACTGGACACCACATGTCACTAATCTTTCCTCCATACAACTTGGGAATTGATGCCATCAAACCATTTGCAAGAGCTGAAACAAAGGCTGGAGTTCAGAAGAAAGAGGTGGTTACAATTGAAGAACTGTACACCTACCTCTCTCAAACGAATGAACATGTATCATGCTCTTTTCGCCACATTCCATCTGCTTTAAAGAAATAAATATACTCCTAAGATCAATTTCCTATGTCCAAACAGACACAAGAAGCTGATTTCCTCTGCAAAGCCAGTGTCGTTGGAGTGCTGCAAAGAAATGGTTGGTCCTATGTCTCATGTGGTGGGTGTAGCAGGAAGTTAGACAAACGTGGGACATCTCTACATTTGCAACAAATGTGTTTCACAAACTGCAATAGGAATTCTCAGGTATAATAATCGCTTAGGCAACCATTCTTTAAAACATCTCTTCCACAGGTACCGTGTCGAACTTGCTGTTCATGATGGTCAATACCCAGCCAGATTTGTGGTATTTGACAGCGAAATGACAAAGCTAACTAACAATTCTGCAGCAACTCTGGCACTTGAGGAGGTAACTGATTTCCTAAAGTCAACCTCATAAGACTAACTTACAATGCAAATACTAACTATGCCATCGACCAATGATAGGGTGATGGCACTAATGGTGATGGTTTACCAAACTGTCTTGAAGCACTAGCTAGTAAGCAGTTTGTTTTCCAGATACGTGTCACGCCATTCAACTTCACACCCAACCATCGCACTTTCACGGTGTCAAGAATCTCAGCAGAATCCACAATTGAAGATGGCTCGGAGGTACCTACAAACTATGTATTAACCGTGCTTCATACAGTTAATCAACAAAGATCTAAATCACTAGATATGCATTTCAGGATGAAAAGAACTCTCCAACCCTCACAACCGAAAACAATACAGAAGGACCAACAACTACGCACACTGTTGTGGTTGACACAACCCAACTCGACATGAATTCAGACCCACCAACAAGCTCCAGCGTGGGGGCCCTGTGTGAGAAAGAGAAGAATCGAAAACGCCTGCGTGAGTAGTTCTACAGTATCCACCGATCCGTCATTCCCACAAGCAGTCCCTCTGCTTGCATTTCCCTTCCTTTTAATGCTCAAAAGTGCTTTACAACACTTTCAAATTTTCGTTTTTCATTTCAGTACGTTAAGTTGTCTTTCTGTTTTGCAAGTGCTTTTACACTGAGCACAGTTTGGATTTTATAATAAAGGGGAATTCGACTGTTATTTAATATGATATTTCATTTAAAGGGTCTGTTTCAGAAATACTCTAAATTTGACAAAAACACAAATTTCCACCGGGTCGTGAAAAATAAATCCTTAAAAATTTGAAAAGACTGTTTAATCCTAATTTGATATTAAACCATAT